TTTTTTTTTTTTCTGGTTTTTTTGACCAGGGTTTTTTTGTGGTTTTGGGGCCTGTCCTGGAACTGTCTCTGGAGACCAGGCTGGTCTCAAACTCACAGAGATCCTCCTGCCTCTGCCTCCCTAGTGCTGGGACTAAAGTTGTGCACCACCACTGCCCAGCTTGCATCTTGCAGTCTTAAGAAATTCTTTTTCACACAAACCCCTAAGGGCTGATCCTTTGAAGACTGTCGAGGGTTACAGCCCTGGCACTGTATGCTAAGCTATACAAAGCAGGCCTTCTAGAAGCATCTTCAAACGAATAAGCAAAAGAAATCCAGATATTGAGACTTAATGTCTAAGTATCAAAAGAAGACAGATCACTGATGGGGCTGGAGAGATGGCTCAGAGGTTAAGTGTACTGGCTGCTCTTCCAGAGGACCTAGGTTCAATTCTCAGCTCCCACATAGCAGCTCACAACAGTCTATAATTCCAATTCCAGGGGGTCTGATATCCTCATCCAGCTTCTGGCACCAGCCATGGGTATAGAAATATAAGCAGGCAAAACCCCATACACGTGAAGTTAATTTTTTTTACAAGAGGAGAGAGAGAGAAGGGCCAGGGACGAGACTGTCGGCAGGTAAGAGACTAAAGGGGAACTCGGGAGAAGGGCTAGCCCTGGCCGCCCTGTAGCTCCCAGGAGCAAGGCTACCCTGTACTGCTGAGTGACTAGACCCCATCTTCTAAGGGTGCTCACTAAACTCATTGTGCAGGGCCTTTGGCCACACCCACTTTCACACACCCACCAGCCCTTTACAAGACCAGAGCTTTAGTAATCTAAAGGCTCACCTTCTTTTCAAAATCATCCACCAAGCCAGCCTTGGCCACTCTGGTCTTGTAATAAGCCCAGTCAATCGCTGGTGGTTTCTCAGGCAGATTAGCCAACCTGCTCATATGGAAAAGTAGAAGTCAGGACCATTCCCCGAGCAACAGACACTACTCACACAGCAATCCCCTAGTCCTTATCCCACCTGAGTGTGAGCACACACTTCTCTGAAGGACCGCCAAAAAGATGCCAAACATGCCAAAAAGATGCTTTCATTCACAAAGCACACAGACTATCAGGACTGCCTGTGTAGTTCTGGCAAGATGACTAAGTGGGTAAAGGCACTTGCTGATAAACTGAGGACGTGTGTTCAATGCCCGGGACTCCCATGGTGGAGAAGGCAGAGAGCCAACACCCACAAGCTTTCCTGTCATCCACATGTGCTTCATGGCACACCAAGTGGCAGGTAGGTGTGCACTCATATACATACGAAATGAATGTTAATAAATGTCAAAACTTTGCTGCTAGGTGTGGTGACCAGCATGGGGTGGGGGGCTCTTTCTCACAACACACTCACCTGGTGTGGAGGGTCTCATTCCAAGACTTCAGGGAGTTTGCAATTGTCTTTTGGTTTCGAGGTATGATCTCCACAAAAGACACCCAATCAATGGTTTTTAGGGCAAGTTTACGCCCGGCCATCTTGGGATCCTAAAAACAAAACAGGTCAGATAAAACAGTGGCCATGGAGAGGAAACCCCCCCCCCCCAAGGACAGCATTTCAGGGAAATACAAGTCTTTCTACGAGACAGACCAGCATCGTAAGCACTTGGTTGGTCCACACAACAGCTAAAGGAATTAGGACATGGGGCTCAATTGTTGGAATGCTTGCCGAGCATGGACAAAACCCTGGGTTCCATCTCCAGCACCTCATAAGCTGAGGCGGAGGCAGGGGAATCCAAGGTTCAGGGTCATAGTTGGTTACACAGTGAGTTCAAGGCCACCCTGGGATACATGAGAGCCTACATCAATAAATCGGAAATGGGCAGCTAAGCTTCTCAATTCAAGCTATATAACACAGAACACAAATGTAATTTCTCCTGCTAGTCTACCCTTCCTCTATCCCAACAGTTTATCGTTAGAAACCCATTTCTACTTTTTGCTCTCCATGTGTCTTTGCAAACACTGCTACAGGGCATTCATACACAGAAGTCTAATAAATAACAATTGTGCTTTATTCGATGATTCTTCACCATACAAAAACTTGACAGAGAAAATTTGACAAAGCTTCAAAATGAGCAGGCAAAATTTCCTCATCTGCAAATAGGGTGAAGGAGCTGTTAAAAACACCAAGTGAAAGCGTAGTCATCAATTTGCCCCAGTTTTATACAGACTTCAGGGGCTCTCAACACCTGTCATCCACTTGTTTGCTGTGAACAGTATTCGAGTCATACGGTCCACAGCAAACACGCCTTGCATCTTTTTCAGAGGCATTTTTACACAAATGACAGTGACAGAAGAAGGTGACTGCAACTGTCTCTAAAGCACAACAAGACAAAATACAGGAAGTCGCCACCATCAGAGGCCTGTAAAGTGGAGACGGTGCCTGCAGGCTGAGTGGACTCAGGCTCAGTGGAGGAGGCCTTCCTAAGGAGCACAGCCGTCAGATGCCAGTCCCCTTCCTTCCCCCCTACTGCAGCTGACGTCTCTGGGAAGGGAGAGGCTGAGGCAGTTGTCAGACGGGCTCAAGATGCCAGAGACCGAATGCACTTTCCTAGGCACGGGGGGAACTCGGGAGCCACAGACGTTTGCCTAGCTAGCGCCTGTGTCACCCACACTGGAGTCTGGAACCCTCCACAGGGCGGGGAGGCCGTGGCCCTGCAGCCCCTTCCCCAACCCAGAAACGGCGTGAGGCACGGCTGGGGCAACAGTCACAACCGGGGGTCCCCGGCCAAGTCACAGCCAGGCCCCAGCCTCGCCCGGCGGGAAGGTGAGCAGGACAAGGCCGTGACCTCGGGCGCTGGGCCAGCGGGGCAGCCCGGGGGCCCGACGTCGTCCGCGGCGGGGGATCAAGCGCGGAAGCCAGGACTGGAGCACCTGCTGCAGGAGAGCCCGTGGGGACCGGACCCGGCACCTCGAGCCCCACTCACCTTCACCGACCCCGGCGGAGCGCCGTCTCCAGCAGCGAGGAACGGAAGCGGGT